ACTTGTGTCATTTTATTAACTATCATACAGAACGCGTGTGTCCGAAGCTCTCTAAAGTTGGTGAGCCTTCAAAAAAAAAAATCATTTAAGGTGGTAAACTTGGATAAAACAGTGCTTGCTGAGAGAGTATAGATGAGCACAGGAAATGTTCACGCTTTGGGACTCTCCCAATTCCTCAGTTCTGTTGAGCTAGTTGGTAGGCCTTCAAAAAAAATTGTTTAAGGTGGTAAACTTGGATAAAACGGTGCTTGCTGAGAGAGTATAGATGGGCACAGGAAATGTTCACGCTTTGGAACTCTCCCAATTCCTCAGTTCTGTTGAGCTTCGCCAAGGCTTGCAAAATGATACCCGGACCTGACAGTATTTCAGACTCATACCAGCTATACCCCTTGAAGATGTTTCCTCAAACTCCTTCATCCTATATTGTGTCCCTTTCCATATTCAAGGTTCAGATGTGGTGGAAGTGGGACAAAAAACGTCTTAGGGGGCACTGAAAAGTGCCTTGGTGACTCGGTGCCATGCTGCAAGGCCACGCCTAAGAACATTCCCCCCCCCCTTGGCTCCTCGAGCTCCCACCTGTACACTTTGGAGCAGACCCATTCATTTTAATAAGCCTCCTCTAAGGGAGAGAGTAAAGTGCTTGTTGCCGGCAGCCACCCCACAAAACCGTTAGGTCTGGATCAGAGCCAATTCAAGAATGAAAAGAGCCATCCACGTGCCAGCACCACAGGGGCAGGACTCGGCAAGCTCAGAGACCAGTTCAAGAGGAACCGGGATCACATCTTCAAAACCCTCCTTGCCATTCGATCAGGCAAAAATGGCTGGGGGAGAGCGAAAGATGCGTCTTAATGGCCATAAGACAAAGCAGACGGCCCTATTTCCAGATCTTGCAGCCTCTCTCCGCCAGCCAGTATGGCTGGATTGAACTGCAGCCCCCCCTCCCCACCCCTTTTGTCGAGAGTCCCACCCAGTCAGCAGCCATTACAGGCACAAAATGGCCCACTCACGGACGGTGGTGCGGCTGCTGGAAGGGAATCCAGCCACAACCATTGTGAGGGAAATCGTAAGGCTGGAGGGAAAAGACGGGAATGGGGAACTCCACCCGCCTGGCCCGATCGAGACGTTTCAAGGCAGCCGGGAGATGGGCCAGAGGGTGCTCTGCAGCCATGTGCTGTCTGCCGCCAGCAGACAAAGAAGAGGGGGAAAAAAAGATGGTGGGCAGGCGAGGACAGGCTCTTTGGCGCGAGAAAAGGCACCCGCCCGGCAGAAAAAAGGAAAGAGGGCAGAAAATCACTTCCAAAGATGCCGGAAAACATCACTTCCAGAAGATCCAAGGTTTTTTCCCTCGGCAACGTTTAAAGCCACAGTTGCACCAATGTGCTGCTACCCCTCCCCCATTTTTGCAAACAAAGCCAGCACATGTGCGCAGGTCTCACTTACAGCAGATCTGTCCCTCTTCTAGTATGGACACCCACAGTTTAGCATTATGCTAATATTGTATCAGATGCCATCATGTAAAGATAGATCTTTTTCCAACTTGAATACAAAAGAAGCTGGGGAAGGCTTGTGCATATGGATCAGAGCCCCTCCCAAATCGATCGCTTTAAAAATATTCTAGGTCAAACCATCTCAACCCGGCTCCTGCTGATCGGATCCTGAGGCTTTTCCTCCCCTTGTTTTGTTACATAATATCCACCCTTTCTAAATACAACGGCACTTTCTCGGCTGTGCGTTCCTACGGTCGCGCTTTCAGAGAGAAGCTAGTTTGTTGCGAAGAGCGGAGCCGCCGCAGCCGCTTCCTTCCCTCCCTCCCGCCAGCCAAAGGGAACCCATTTGCCGTTCCATAAGCAACAATAAACTTAAGAACGCCACGACTCTTGGGGAGCTACTCGGGAGAAAGCGGGAAAGCCGGTTCGGGCTGGGAAGCCCCGCGGAGCGCGATTTCTGCCCGTCCGCGCCATTGAAACAGCGACTTAGGACGACAGGGCGGGGCGCGGACAGGAAGGGAGGAAACGGTGCTGGCCGCATGGATGGAAAGTAGCCGGGGCGCCTTCTTTCCCACTGAACGGAGGAATCTGCCTGGAGAATGCTGAGACTTGTATGGGAAGTAGACGGGGTGTGTGTGTGGATACTACTGCAAGGCGACTACACCCCCCTTTCCCCGACTGTGCAATGTGGGTTATTGCCCGCCACGCATGAGCAAGGGAGACCATCGTCCCACCTCCATCCCGGTCTCCAAGAGTTCAAGTCTCCTATCTCCCCATTTTTTACCCAACGGGTCCCTCCCCCTCATGAAAATAAACCGGTGTCAGAGGAAACAGTCCGCCTTTGTTCTGCACTTCCCACCACCTTCTCTTCTCTCTTCCCCCTCCGAATTTCAAACTCCACCTTCGCGTGCCGCTGCCTCTTTGGCGCTAAAACCTACGCGCACCGTTAGGAGGTCGGATGAGCTGGCGGGCTGGCACGTTCGCAGCGCCACAAAGCGGGGGGGGGGGGGGGGGGGGAGAGAAAGAGAAATAGGTTTCCAGGCTGAGTAATTTGCTTTCCCGTGGGCTGATGTCGTTGATTTTAAAATCTCAGCTCGGCGGAAAAGTAAAGCTATGAGGACCCCGCCCCCCTTCAAAAGCATCCTTTCTTAAGGTAATTTATTAAAACAGCAGAGAAGGATTTTCCGGAGATCGGCAAAGCAGGCGAGATCGGGGGGGGGGGCTCCCGCCTGAGCCTTTTTTTACGAGCCGACACGGCACAATTTGCCAAGAGACGATCCACCGCACCTACTAAAGCCAAGCCGCACCGCTTTTAAACACGAAGTGTCCCACCATTTGGGAGAGATCCTAAAAGGGGGAGGGAAACGGCGCCACTCCCCCCGTATCATTAACTACGGCCATGTGCAAAATGCAGGACTTCCGCTTTGCCACCGTGGCGCGAATCATTTCATGACTGGGTCCACCTCCTCCCCAAATAATTTTTTTTTTTTTAAAATTACAACGCCAGCCTAATACGCCAATCATACCAGAAAGGGGGCGGGGGGGAATCAGAAAATACCATCCTCACCTTAGCACCGATTTGATTACCACATTGCCCAGCTTGAATGTGCACGATTTCCCTCATCTTGCCTGGCTATTACGAAAGGACGATGCTAAACCAGCGGCGCAGTTCCCGGGAGCGCGGAACTTCGAGGAGCTCAGAGATTCTCTGCTTCGAATGCGGCGACTGCGACTGAACGTTCTAAAGAGTCGGCGGGGCGAGCTGATCCCCAGACAAAGCTTTTATAAACCGACGGGCGGCCCGCGCTCCGATTGGTCGGCGGGGATCACGAGCGCCGCGCTGATTGGACGGGGGTAGTTACGGGCACATGGTGGTGGAAGGGGGTGAGGCCCGAGATGGGTGTGGTGGGTTGCTGAGAGAGTGCGGATGGGGAAGGCGGGGGTCGCTGTTGAAAGTTACATTTTTTTCCTTTTGTTGTCACAAATTGAAAGGGGGGGAGTAAAGGAGACCACTATGGAATGGGGGTGGGGCGCAGTAACATTGATGGGACGGAGTTCCGCGCACAGACCCATGCCGCAAACCTTTATTGGGTATGGGTACCTTTTTTTTTCCTCTGAGTGAAAAAGGCCTTCTTTGGGATCTGCAACCCAACCTGGGTAGAGGGCTGATGACTCAGCTGCGAAACGTATCTTCTCTTCTCTTTTACCGGCTAAAGAAGACGAAGAACGTGCCCCCGAGTCACAACCGGCTTATGGCAGCCCCAACCGTGGGATGTTCAAGGCAAGAGATAAGCAGAGGTGGTTTATCACTGGCTTCCTCCTTGCGTGGCAAACCCCAGTCCTCCTTGGTGGCCTCCCTTAGGGTTACAGGCTGGGGAATTCCTCGAGATTTGGGGACGAGCCTGGGGAGGGTAGGGACCCCAGGAACATGAGAGAAGCCAATGTTGGATCAGGCCAATGGCCCATCCAGCCCAACACTCTGTCACACAGTGGCCAAAAATACCAGGTGCCATCAGGAGGTCCAGCAGTGGGGCCAGGACACTAGGAGCCCTCCCACTGTTGCCCCCCCCCAAGCACCAAGAATACAGAGCATCACTTGCCCCAGACTGAGAGTTATAATGCTGTAGTGTCCATTCTCCAAAGCAGCCATTTTCTCCAGGGACGCTGCAGTCTGTCCACCAATTATAATTCCAGGATCTCCAGGCTCCACCTGAAGGTTGGCAACCCTATCTCCCACTCAAGTACTGACTGCTTAGTTTTCAGGCCTGATGAGCTCGGGCTGAACGGAGTTATTCAGACTGCTGAAGGCTCACCATTATGACAGGGCGTATGTGCAGGGCCTACAAAATCAAGAGTGGCCACTTAGGTGGAAAAACGTAAAAGGCTGCGGGGTACGAATGTGTAACCTCAGCTTGTGGGTTCTGTGGGGCAGAACTTGGAATGAATCCTGGAATAATTTAAAGATGAATAAAACATTTTTGCTTTTCACTTGACATCCTATCGTATAACAAAACATAGATTTTAGTGACGCCACAGAACAGTGATCTTTTTAAAGTCCAAACAATTGACTTTTCCCTCCTTCGCCCCTTGCCACCCCCAAAGTCCATCATTTCCCACTTGTTGGTTGGTCCCAAATGAACTCCCCACCAGGTAACACAGCTCTTAAACAAGGTGTAGGTGTTAAGAGTCTATGACTAAAGTTCCAGCTCCCCAGCAGGGCAGTCTGGCTCCCTCCTCTGCTTTCCAAACAGTCTGCGCACCCTTCTGCCTCTAGGGCAGTGGTGGCGAACCTATGGCACGGGTGCCAGAGGTGGCACTCAGAGCCCTCTCTGTGGGCACGTGTGCCATCGCCCCAGCCAGGCCCAGACCATCATTAAAGTGTTGAATTCTCTGCCAAATAATTTTTAAGTAAATGAAAGCATTTGGGATTGCTTTCCTTACTTACTTTGAATCATCTTAAGTTAATGTATGAGTTGTTTTTTCTAAAATAAAACCCCGGTATTCAGGTTAAATTGCCGTGTTGGCACTTTGCGATAAATAAGTGGGTTTTGGGTCGCAGTTTGGGCACGCGGTCCCTAAAAGGTTCGCCATCACTGTTCTAGGGGTTCCACCCCTTCCTGGCTCATTCCATTCCTAGCTCAGGGTTACAGGAGCATCTCTATATTCCAGCCTAGGCTTTTGAAAACCAGTGCTCCATCCTTAGCAGTACCCATCCCTTAGCACTTGCTGACCGGAGTTACTTCCACTATCAAGGATCAGGGGCTGTTCTTATTTTCATTGCCCTTTACTGTTTTCTGTTTCTTGGACATGCTGTGTTAGATACAGAGGTCATTTCCGGGGGGATCGTGGGGGGTCGCAGTTCCCTTGGGTGAGGTACGGGGGGCGAGGCACATGACGAAGCCCCGCCCCCTGCTTCCGGCCACCCCGCTTCCGGCCCTCATTCAGCCAGGAGGAGGCAGGAGAAGAGGGAGGGTAAGTTGCTCGGGGCTTCCTTGCCCTCCTGCCGACCTTGCAGGTCCACCGCCGGGCCCCTCATGGGGCTCGGCAGTGGAGCTGCAAGGCCGGCGGTGGTGGCCGGGATCGTTGGGGGTGGGGTGTGTGGCCTTATGACACACTTCCGGTGATGTCAGGGGGGGTGGCATATGCTAATGAGTTATGCTAATGACTTCCCCTAGCTCTTTTTCTACGAAACGACCCCTGGTTAGATTAAAAATATCATCACCTTGAAGAAGGATAATAATAACAACCCGATGCTAATCATGGTCACTCGGATAGATTTTCCATTGACTTCAGTAAGATCCCCCCCCTCCAGCAAATAAGGACTGGACAGCCCAGCTTACTTTGGAAATGCTTGACAGCTTCCCCTTCTGCTTCATCCCCTCCCTCAAACCTCTGTCCTCGCAAACCATTTGCAGCATGGTGATCGCCTGAAAACATTGACTCCAGGAAAATGGTGGCCTCTACTTGTGAGCAATGTTCCCTCTAAGCTGTGTAGTCTTGTCAGCAAAAATTCTAATTCGTGAGCTACTGGCATTAAAATTGTGAGTGAATGATTTGGCTACTGCATAAATTAGATTACTCTGGAGCCATGCTTCCTGAGCTATAAAAATCTGTGAGCTGGAGGCTAAAAAACTGTGAGCAAGCTCACACTAACTCAGCTTAGAGGGAACACTGCTTGTGAGGAGCCTGAAACAAGCCAGGACTATCGGGGGGGGGGGGGTCAACTCTGGCTAGGTGCATCCTTCAGCAGGCCCTCTGCTTGGGGCAATCCTTGAAGAATGTTCGGACACTGTGACCAGAACACTGGTTAGTTACGGGGTCATGTGACTCCAATAGTACAGCAATTACACTAGCGTCTGAGCTGCTCCCAAGCCCCATTCAAAGTGTTGGTTTTGCCCTTTAAAGCCCTACATGTTGTGGGTCCAGGATATCTGAAGGACCATCTTCTTGCCCGGGAAATAAGACCACAGCGAGAGGCCTTCTTGACTGTCCCGTTGACCAACGAAACTCACCTGGTGGGTACATGAGAGAGGGCTCTCTCGCCTGAAACAAGCCGGTACTATCGGGGGGGGGGGTCAACTCTGGCTAGGTGCATCCTTCAGCAGGCCCTCTGCTTGGGGCAATCCTTGAAGAATGTTCGGACACTGTGACCAGAACACTGGTTAGTTACGGGGTCATGTGACTCCAATAGTACAGCAATTACACTAGCGTCTGAGCTGCTCCCAAGCCCCATTCAAAGTGTTGGTTTTGCCCTTTAAAGCCCTACATGTTGTGGGTCCAGGATATCTGAAGGACCATCTTCTTGCCCGGGAAATAAGACCACAGCGAGAGGCCTTCTTGACTGTCCCGTTGACCAACGAAACTCACCTGGTGGGTACATGAGAGAGGGCTCTCTCAGGGGCAGCTGAAGACAGCTTTATTTATGACAGCATTTAGTGTCAGTTTTTCTGCCTATGGGCGGTTTAAGTTATTCATTTCATAGTTTTATGTCTTTTTTATTTTTGTGAGTATTGTGTGTGTTCCTGGAAGATATGGTTGACTTCTGGCAACCCCAGTGGCGCTTGGATATTTCAGAGAGGTGGCTTACTGTTGCCTGCCTCTGTATCCCGGCTCTGGTATTCCTTGGAGGTATCCCATCCAAGTACATGCCAGGGTTGGCCCTTCTTTGCTTCCTAGATCTGACTAGATTGGGCTTGCCTGGGCTATCCAGGTCAGGGCACTTTTTATGACTCTCGTTATGTTTTTATTGTGTTTTGTTGTTGTTTACATTGCAAGCTGCCACGACTTCCTGTAAGGTAGAAAGGCAGTTAATAGGTATTTTAAATAATGTCTCTCTCTGCTAAACCCACTTTTCCATTCCTTAATATCTGTCTTGCTAAGCCCTTACGCTGCTTCTGAGTCACACTTCACATGCACCTCAGGGTTCTAGTGTTTTGCCCTTCTTTTCTAGTTGTTTCATTTTCTGATCTTCCCACCTCCTCCTCTGTGCTCATTTCTCAGGCACCTCCCTTTCCTCCTCCCAGTTTCCTGGAATTCCCACGATGGTGCTTTTTATCCCAGGAGCAGTCTTTGTCCTGCTTATCCACTGCTACCTGATTCCCTCCACTTCCCCATTCTCATTATTCAATTAGCAATCCCAGCTCCCCCCCCCCCCGACCCGTATCAATACCTGGAAGTTCCTTGAAAGTAAGAAAATCTGAAAACTGCTGATTGAGGCACGATCTGTTCAGACATGGCAAGCAAACCAGAGTCTGCAGCAGACAGTGGCTTTATCAAGGTTGCTTTCACTTGGGGGATTTCCATCGGCATGGAAAACGGGAACCCCTCCTGACACTGAATAGGAGTTTCCACACAATCGTCAATCTGCGCTCAGATCATCAACTCAATAAAACCTCCTTTGACTTTATCCGGAAAGGGAACTCAGTGGCTGCACGTGGGACGCCTGTGTGGATGCTCCACCCACAGTCACTACGGGAAAGTGACAGAGCTTCAAAATGGCGGAGCTAAACTCTACATTTCCTCATCTCCACCCCTCACATGGTGTGCCAAGGTGGAAGACTGAAGGCTTCGACTAAGTTATCGTGCTGTCTGAATAGGGACATCCCAACAAATTGGGGTTAATTTCCTTCTCAGTGGCCTGGGTTGTTAACCACAGTCAACTCCAGCAAATTAAACTGGAGTTAGTTTCATCTGCCATCTTAGTGCTCTATGCAAGGGGAGGAGGGAGGGAATGCGTGACCATGACTATCACCATCAA